CAAACATAGGATTTTGAATTAAGTTTCCCGGCAATGTCATGTTATGAGCTCTTGATATTGATAGGTTTCTGATCGATTCAACTGTTTAAGAAAATCATTGGAACTACGTTTTCCTTAGTATCGGACCATACAAATTTCATTTCAACGTCTTTGAGGGAACTGTAGCTATCGATTTTCAGTTATAAGATTTTGATTAAAAATTCCAGGCAACATCTTTTTATGAGCGCTTCGTATTGAGAGGTCTCCAATAGCCTAACTTTTAATTGAGAGTTTTATCGGTTAGCTCATTTGCATACTGGAGGAAAGTGAGAGTAATGTAACATTCGTCTACTGCAGTCACACATGAGGCTTAAGAAAAATAGGCCCTATAACCATTGGCTCAAGAGTCAGGGACACTATCTCTTGTGTTTTTCTACCTCAAATCAGTCGGAGCCAATTCGGTTCGTTTGTGACATGAGACTACGACCCGTTACAGCTTAAAGGCTACTACTAAAATATCCCCCCACTTTAGAATTAAGAACGTCCCCATACTTAGGTCTCTAGATACCCAAAATACATGAACGCCGTTAAAAACCGGGTCGGAACAATCCGTTAAGTTACTTTTTATTAGACAGTGGAACTTTGATCCATTTCAGATGGATCAACCTAAAACTCGCCTTACCTCAACATAACAATTATAAAACACACTCTAGAAATTTAAATTGGTACTCACATTGTAGCACGCTCAAGAATTGGGAGTAATTAAGTCGGTAAGCAACTCAAGAATTAAATAATGTAACTAAATGAGTTTAATGTTTGTCAGTTTCAACAACAGGAACAAGTTTGTACTCTAGAATGTAGTTTTATGTGGACCATTGGGACACTCAAGCTGTCCACCTTTCCACCGAAGGTTCACTCTGGTCCAGTTCGAATAGTTGACCAGTTGGATAATTGTCCAGTTCTCAGGAACACTCTGTCTTCTATTTCAAATAGGACAGCTCTACTCTAGATTATTATTGTCTCGGAAATTGCGAATGGCAATTTCCTAGTGATTTATCTTGCAACTTTCCCGCGATTGTCACTCGATTGTTCTGATTTCTCTTTTTCGGTTTTCAGTTATCGCGAGAAAATCGTGCATGACAGGCTCCATTCGAATTTTTGAAAAATTAAATTTCACCCCAAAATTAAGTGCTCTTGCTTTTCTCAAGGTCAAACTTCCAAACATGACCGACTGGCACATAACCTAGCCATCTAAATTCGACATAGTCTGTGTATTGTAATTTGGGAAACTTTATCGGTCCCCATGGCTCATCTTGATTGCCGACATTCTTTGAGGAGGATTTCATGCGAAAAACTTCTAACAATATCTTAGCAACACGGTTTTGTTGAAAATGTTTTTGCTGGGTGGAAAATTTGGTTTTTTCATGGAAAATCAAGTACTGAAAGTTGACAACTTTTTCCGAACTGAATCGTATCGTTTCAAGAGAAGTAATGAAAATTTGAAATCGTAGCTGTAAGAAATACTGGAAAAGCACTTCATAGGAGTATTGAAATTGCAGCTCATAGACATAAGTTAGTGATTCACCCAGGGTGTTTCAAACATTTTAAATGTCGACATTAGATATATCAGTCTCTACTTGTCTGTTTGAATTGATGAATCTAAAATATAAATGTTTAGTAATTAAGGCTTGGTCGATAATTGAGCCGGCGTCATCTTTCTTCCGGTTTGCCAATTTGTAGTCATTTTCCAAGTTGGTACCATACTCCTTTTGTTTTTGCGAAGGTTGTGGAGCTGATCGTAGCAAAGATGAAGTGCCTTTCTGTTTTTGACAGAAATTTATACGAAGATTACCCATCAAGAGTTGTCAAAAATTGTTGACCGAAGACATATACTGCGCAGTTTTTCTTCTATTGGTCACCAGTGCATTCAGTGAAATTTCTGGCATACGTCAGAAATTATAAATTTGGTTGCAGTTGTTTCTTCAGCTTTTTTTTAACGGTTGAGTTTTTTGATGCCAAAAGATTTAATAAAAGTGACTAACATTTCGTACATCCACAGTCACAATCAATTTCTGTATAGTGGTTCCAGTTTTGGCCTAAAGCTGTTTCGGAGCCTCATTTTTTGAGCTCTTGATATTGAACGGTTTCTGATCGGTTCAAACGTTTCAGAAAGTCATTGGTACTACTTTTTTCTAGTATCGGACCTTACAATCTTCATTTCAACGTATTTGAGGTACTTTTATTTTCAAACATGAGAATTTGCATAAATTTTCTCGACATGTCATTTTTTGTGCATGCTGTGAAATTTCTGGCATTTGTCTGCACTTACAAATTGGTTACAGCTCTTCTTTTAGCTTTTTTTTGTCGAAAAGCATCCGATCTTCGTCCGATAGGTCCAGGCGGTTGAGTGTTTTGTGGCCAGGGGAGAAGTAATAAAAGTGACCAACATTTCGTATATCAACTGTCACAATCAATATCTGTACGGTTGTACGGTGGTTCCGTTTTTTGGCTAATAGCTGTTTCGGAGCGTCATATTTTGAACTCTTGATATTGAGAGGTTTCTGATCAATTCAAATGTTGCAGAAAATCCTTCATACTTCTTTTTCCTTAGTATCGGACCATACAAACTTCATTTCAGCGTGTTTGAAGGAACTGTAGCCATCAATTTGCAAACATAGGATTTTGAATAAAGTTTCCCGGCAATGTCTTGTTATGAGCTCTTGATATTGATAGGTTTCTGATCGATTCAACTGTTTAAGAAAATCATTGGTACTACGTTTTCCTTAGTATCCGACCATACAAATTTCATTTCAACGTCTTTGAGGGAACTGTAGCTATCGATTTTCAGTTATAAGATTTTGATTAAAAATTCCAGGCAACATTTTTTTATGAGCGCTTCGTATTGAGAGGTCTCCAATAGCCTAACTTTTAATTGAGACTTTTATCGGTTAGCTCATTTGCATACTGGAGGAAAATGAGAGTAACCTAGCCATCTAAATTCGGCATAGTCTGTGTATTGTAATTTTGGAAACGTTATCGGTCCCCATGGATCATCTTGATTGCCGACATTCTTTGAGGAGGATTTCATGCGAAAAACTTCAAACAATATCTTAGCAACACGGTTTTGGTGAAAATCTTTTTGCTGGGTGGAAAATTTGGTTTTTTCATGGAAAATCAAATACTGAAAGTTGACAACATTTTCCGAACTGAATCGTATCGTTTCAAGAAAAGTAATGAAAATTTGAAATCGTAGCTGTAAGAAATATTGGAAAAGCACTTCATAGGAGTATTGAAATCGCAGCTCATAGACATAAGTTAGTGATTCTTCCAGAGTGTTTTAAACATTTTAAATGTCGACATTAGATATATCAGTCGCTACTTGTCTGTTTGAATTGATGAATCTAAAATATAAATGTTTAGTAATTAAGGCTTGGCCGATAATTGAGCCGGCGTCATCTTTCCTCCGGTTTGCCAATTTGTAGTCATTTTCCGATTTGGTACCATACTCCTTTTGTTTTGGCGAAGGTTGTGGAGCTGATCGTAGCAAAGATGAAGTGCCTTTCTGTTTTTGACAGAAATTTATACGAAGATTACCCATCAAGAGTTGTCAAAAATTGTTGACCGAAGACATATACTGCGCAGTTTTTCTTCTATTGGTCACCAGTGCATTCAGTGAAATTTCTGGCATATGTATGAAATTATAAGTTTGGTTGCAGTTGTTTCTTCAGCTTTTTTTTAATCGGAAAGTTTCCGATCTTCGTCCGATAGGTCCAGGCGGTTGAGTTTTTTTGATGCCAAAAGATGTAATAAAAGTGACCAACATTTCGTACATCCACAGTCAAAATCAATGTCTGTATAGTGGTTCCAGTTTTGGCCTAAAGCTGTTTCGGAGCGTCTTTTTTTGAGTTCTTGATATTGAACGGTTTCTGATCGATTCAAACGTTTCAAAAAATCATTGGTACCACATTTTTCTAGTATCGGACCTTACAATCCTCATTTCAACGTATTTGAGGTACTGTTATTTTCAAACATAAGAATTTGCAAAAATTTTCTCGGCATGTCATTTTTTGTGCATGCAGTGAAATTTCTGGCATATGTCTGAACTTACAAATTGGTTACAGCTCTTCATTTAGCTTTTTTGTCGAAAAGCTTCCGATCTTCGTCCGATAGGTCCAGGCAGTTGAGTGTTTTGTGGCCAGGGGAGAAGTAATAAAAGTGACCAACATTTCGTACATCCACTGTCACAATCAATATCTGTACGGTGGTTCCGTTTTTTGGCTAAGAGCTGTTTCGCAGCGTCATATTTTGAACTCTTGATATTGAGAGGTTTCTGATCGATTCAAATGTTTCAGAAAATCATTGGTACTACGTTTTCCTTAGTATCGGACCATACAAATTTCATTTCAACGTCTTTGAGGGAACTGTAGCTATTGATTTTCAGTTATGAGATTTTGATTAAAAATTCCAGGCAACATCATTTTATGAGCTCTTCGTATTGAGAGGGCTCCAATAGCCTAATTTTAATTGAGAGTTTTATCGGTTAGCTCATTTGAATACTGGAGGAAAGTGAGAGTAACCTAGCCATCTAAATTCGACATGGTTTGCGTAGTGTAAACTTGGAAACGTTATTGGTCCCCATGGATCATCTTGATTGCCGACATTCTTTGACGTTGATTTCTTGCTAAAAACTTCAAAATCTGAGCAACACGGGTTTGGTGAAAATCCTTTTGCTGGATGGACAATTTGGCATTTACATTGAAAATCAGGTACTGAAAGTTGACATTTTTTTCGAACTGAACCGTATCGTTTTAAGAGAAGTATTCATAGATGTTAGAAGTTAGAAAAACAATTATAAAGCAAAAGTTTCTATGTTTTAGTTTATCAATGTTTCGAAGCCGGTTTTTGGTATCATCTTTAGCTGCTATGTGCTCTTAATTTATTTTCAAGCTTTTGGTGTCTCGACAAAATTATTCGAAGTCGAACTAAATTTTCCTTTGTTTGAAAATTTGTTCAATGTTTAGGGATCGAGTGGACAGGGGAAGTCGACTCTGTTGACCCTGGCTCAAAATGCGAGGTCGAATAGGACAAGCGCAGTCAGTAGAGGAAGGGCGGAGACTCTAACTGATGCAGATGGTAGAACAAGACAAAGGTCGAATAGCTTCTGCGACTTACCAAATGAATTGGTTAGTTTCGAACTTCTGCTTTTCCGGTTTGGTTTTCTTTTTATGTACCGAGAAAAGTGATCGAATCTTTTTTAAATTTCTTCGAATCAGAGTAGAACCTTTGTAACAGAATTGATATCTTGAATTGATATCAAAATTAAGATGGAATCCATAATGTATAATATTAAAATAACATATAAGGAATCAGGAAAAAACTATGCTGGATATGTAGGCTACCAAATAGCATTCTAAGAAAACCTAAGTAAGAGTGGAGAACAAACTAGTGTAAATGTACATATTTATATAAATATAAGTGAAACAAGCACTTCTATTCTTAAGAATGAGTTAAGTTGTGTTCTTAATTTTACAGCTGAAAATCTGAGAAATTTTAAAACAGAACCAAGTTGTTGAAGATCATACCTCTGAAAAAAATGAAGGTTTTCGTTATCTTACGCTCAACCGATATTTCTGTACTTGAGAAAAAAGATTTAATAAGGCTGTAACTGGTTAAGGCCCTTTTTTACACCAATATTTTCACACAAATGTTATACGTGATGCGTTCGGTATCTCCGAAGTAATTTCGGGAAAGATTTGTTTAAAAAACATACATATCAGAGTCAGTGTCAATGTCATTTTCACAAACAGGTACTGAATGAAGTTTTTTGTATGAAATAGTACGCACTAGTCTTTTAAATTTGTTTAGATTTGCTTTAATGAGCATGCATAAAAAATCAGACCTACAAACTCACCGGTACTAAGTAAGATTTAAAACTCTTTTTTTCAATGGTTTTTATGAAAAATGCGCGTGCGGTAAAAAAAACTGTTGAATGTAGCTATTTTAAAGCATTGATTACAGAAAACTCGGATAACTTTACTTTCTTCGATCAGTTTTCGGAATCACTTGCATTGGAGTGGTTATAATCTCTTATAGTGATTTGTGTTTTGCCTGAAAGTATTGCCATAATTTGCACCAGTCATCTTTCTTTACACATGCGGTCGTAGTTTCTTTTTTTTGGTGTTTGTTCATTTGTGTTTGCGAATTGCAGCTTAGCCTCTGTGTAAAAAATTGGCATGAAAAATTGAAAAGCCGGTTAAAAAATTGAAGTTTTGGTTGAAATTTGAAGCCAAGTAAGTAGCGATGAGATGATTGGAACTTACATAGTAGTCATTATCAAGGTTATTGCAGCGACAAACGTTAATTATTAAGGAGTGAATTAATGAGATTTGAGTGATATTTCCAATAGCAATCAGATCAAATATATATGGTAAATCACCCGCACAAAGTTGCTCGAACCAATGACTAAAGGTCATGTTTCACCAGCTAATTTTAACAAAAAATCGGGAAGTGATCTTTCAGTTTGAACTGAATAAGAAAGATCAATTCCAGTTCAGTTAGGAAAAATCACCAATACCCCGCCTTTCAAATTAGGTGGTTCCTAGTAGAATGTCTCGGAAAAATGCAGTTTAGCTCTTTCCCAAGTTTTTCGTCAATGCGTCTGCAGGCATGTTTGCTGTTGGTAAAAAGGTTATTGTCACCTTCTTCTGTTCAACTAACTCTCGAAGGAAGTGTAGTTTTATGGCAAAATGCTTCGTCTTGCCGTGGTTCATTGAGTGTTTACTAAGAGCAATACAAGCTTGGTTATCAACGAAAACTTCTAAAAGCCTATTACAAATTATGCCTAAGTCGCTAAGTATGCCCTGTAAATGAATTCCTTCCTTTACTGTTTCGACCACAGCATTGTGTTCTGCTTCGGCTGTTGAAGTTGATACACAACGCTGAAGTCTGCTAGACCAACTGATTACACCTGAATTGTCACTGAAGTTAAAACAATATCCTGAGGTACTTCTATTGTCTATATTTCCAGCCCAGGCCGCATCCGAATAGCTAACAAGATTCAAGGGCTTATACCTCCTGTATACTAAAGGTAAACTTCTCGTTCCTAGCAGATATCTAAGACAATTTTTTCCGGCTTTCCAATGCTTTTCACCTGGGTTTTCCACAAAAGAACTGAGCAAATGTCGGGTCTACTTGATAAAGCTAGGTAATTTAGACAACCAACAAGTCCTCGATAGTCACATTTTTTCATATTTTCTTGTTCTATGCTACCTTCTAAAGGACAATCTTCTTTTGTCAATTTTTCGTTTTCACCAATAGGGGTCGTTATCGGCTTTGCTTCGGTCATCCTAAATCTTGATATCAATTTTTCAACATATTTCTCCTGGCTTATCCTAATTTTGTTTCCTGAGTAATCAATTTTCATTCCTAAGAAACTTTTAAGATCACTTATCTCGCTTATCTCAAATTTTTCAGAGATATTGCTTTCAAACCAGCTACAGAAATTTTCGTCTGCTCCACAAACCACTATATCATCGACCCACAAGCAAATTAAACCTTCTATCTCTCCCTCAATCCTCCTAACAAACAAGCACTCATCAAAAACTGAATTTTCGAAACCTAATTCCTCAAGGTAGCTTTTTAGAGTCCTATGCCAGTTTCTACCGGACTGCTTCAGTCCATAAAGACTTTTCTTCAGAAGACAAACTAAAGGTTTTCCTTCTTCGTCAAACTTCTCGAACCCTTCAGGTTGCTTCATAAGAATTTCTTCATCTAGTTTGGCATTCAAGTATGCAGTTTTAATGTCTAACTGTCTCAACTGATACCTATTTTGAACTGCTAAGCTCAGGACTATTCTTATGGTCGACATCTTGGCTGTAGGCGAATACGTTTCGTGAAAATCCCTTCCCTCAACTTGGCTAAAACCTTTAGCAACAAACCTAGCCTTAAACCTGGAAATTTCACCATTAGGTCCGTACTTCAAAGCAAAATGCCATCTGCTGCCTATAGGTTTCTCTCCTCTATTTCTAACTAGTTCCCAAACTTTGTTTTTCTCTAATGAATCAAACTCTTTTTTCTTTGCTTTTTGCCAGTCAGGGTCTGCTAAAGCTTCCTTAGCACTTTTCGGTATATTTTCGAGAACTTCTCCAAAAAATACTACATCACCTACTCTTTCTCCTTCGTCACTTTCTATCTTTTTCTCAAAGTAGAACTTAGATTCGTCAAAACTATCTTTTCTAGACTTTTGCACTTTGAGTTTTCCTTCACTCTCAATTCCTATCAGATAAGCTTTACAATTTTCCGATGTCCACAGAAAAATTCCCCTTCTAGAGTTTTTGTCTAGTTTTTCGCGAAACTGTTTTTCCACAAAACTATACGCTACACACCCACAAGTTTTCACAAAATTAAGGTTGGGTTTTTCTCCATACTTTGACTCGTAGGGTGTTTTGCCTATAGCAGAATGAAAGCACATATTTTTGAGATTAGCACCCATATTAAGAGCATAATGCCAATAAGTTTTCGATAAATTCGCATCAAAAATCATGCAGCGAGCCATTGTAGTAATTGTTCCCCACAACTTTTCTATCTTTCCGTTCTCTTGAGGGGTATAAGGAGCCGATGTTTCCAGTCTTATTTTTTGTTTCCTACAAACTCGCCTAAAATCTTGACCAATGTACTCTCCTGCGCCGTCTGAAACTAAAGTCTGAGGGACTCCTATGTCTGCAATGAACCTTTCCATTTTTTCTGTTGCCTCATCTCTCGTCTTCATGAAATAAATTTTCAGATATCTAGAAAAACTGTCCACAAAACCTATAGCATATCTATGTCCATCCTCTGCTAGCGGGTCGATAGGACCTAAAATAACCAGTGTGAACAAAAGCTAGTGTCCTGGTTGCCCTGGTATAAGAATCTTTCGGGACTGGCTTCTTTTTTGCTTTATTCAACTTACAAGTTTCACAATTCTCAATTTTAAAATCACTAATCTTCATGCCTTCAACATGTTGCTACAAATGACTTAAATCTCTGTAGTTATTATGACCCATCCTGCAATGCCACTGTTTCAATGTGCTTACTACATAACACTCGTCTTTTCCTACAAGAGTGTCCCATAAAAAGAGACCACTTTCCTCTCTTAATGGGTAAACTGATCCATTTCCCTGGCGAACAAACGAGCTCGCACTTAAAAACAACTTCTCCTGCTTTCTTCATTTTTGATACACTCAGCAAATTTCTTGAGTTTTCAGGTACGTACAAAGTATCCTTCAGCTCAATCATCTTAAACTCGCCTTTCTCATCTTTCACTCTGAATCTAACTTCACCTTTCCCTAAAATTTTTGATTCAGAAAAATTTGCATTGCTAACCGATCCTTTGAAGTTCTAATCTAAACTAACAAACATGTCTCGATCCTTAATCATATTACTGGTAGCTCCAGAGTCTACAACTCCACTCCTCGCCCGGAGACACTAGTCCTCGCCCGAAGTCACTCCACTCCAGAGTCTACAAGTCCTCGCCCGGAGACACTCCACTCAGGAAACTAAAATGAGCCTCTGTTTCATCTACTAGGTTCTGCTGTTCTCGTTTAGTCTTACTAATGAACTTTTTCTTTGCTTGGCAATATTTTGCAATATGTCCAAACTCCTTGCACTCATAGCACTGAATTTTTCGAGCTCTATCTTCACTATCTCGTCTGCTACTTAAGTTTTTTCTGCACTCTTTCGACACATGTCCTCTTTTATGACACTTGAACCAAACTCTGTTCTCGCTATTAAAAGCATGCTCTTTTTCGATTACTTGTCTCTCGCTATCAAATATCACTAAATCTCTTTTCAACTCATCTAAACTTTTCTCATCTCTACTAAACTTAGCTATAGTAGAAAAAGTTTCAAATTGTTTTGGAAGTCCTTTCAAAATAATTGAAATTAACATTTTTTCACTCACTCCTTCGTTCACTTGTTCTAAATTATACTGAATCTCCTCTGATCTAGTCAAATAATCTATCACTGTTTCATTGCGATTCTTTTTCAAAGTTGTAAGTTCGGAGATTAGTTTTTGCAGCCTGGGTCTTTCAAAACTCTCAAACCTCTTCCGTAAAACATCCCAAGCTTTGCTACCATTGCCTTGATAAGGTCTAAAAAACAAAACTGATTTCTTATCTAGAGCCTGCACAAGTTCGTACTAGATATG